AATTTAAAAAGTGACTAGTGAAAATAAAGATCTTGATGATCACGTAAAAGAATTTCAATTAGAACAAATATACAGTTAAATAAATTATATTTGATGAACTAGATGCCATTAATGTTATATTTTCTGAATAGCATACGAATAATTAAATTCATTCAGACTTTTTTAATCATGTAATTATTCAAAAGTTTAAATAAATAATTATTTATTATATATATACATTTTTTCATTGTGAAAACCTAAGCATTATATATGCAATCAGTATTTTGGTTGTTTCGATAGCATATACACTTTAATATTTTAACGTATACAAATTTTTGGTCTTCGTAATAGAAAAAATACAATAAAAAGATATTATACAATGTATTATAATTAGTAATGCAAATGACTAGCTCAATTCATACAGGGGGTCATAGGTCTGATTGGCTAATAAATTCAATTTAATTTTAGAATACTTTTTTAAAAAAACAAAAATAAAGTGCTTAGTAATAAGTTTATTTTATTGGGTTTTGGGAAATTATTACTAACTTTTTAAACAGATGAGAATTGGATCTTAGTTTTGGCTATAGAGTTCTACAGCTCTAATGAAACCTCCTATACAGCTTTTTTTATTTCATTATGATTAGTTTTCATAAAATTAAAATAAATTTATTAGCCAATCAGATGAACTCTGCTTATGACCCCTGCAACTAGTTATAATAATTCGTATACTTTAAAATATTAAAGTTTATATGCTATCGAAATGATCAAAACACTGATTGCACACATAATATACTTATATAACCAAGGCTTAGGTTTTCATTTTCAAGTTTCTATTTTGCATCATGAGTGAACAAAAATGTATATATATAATAAACAAATATAAAACTTATTTATTTATTTAAAATTTTTGAATAATTACATAATTGAAAAGTCTGAATGAATATAAGTAATTTTAATTATTTCATTGCTATTCAGAGCACTATGCTTCACTTGTGATATATTTATTACAATATGCACATTTTGCATAACTAAACATTTTATAATTATTATTAATTAAATTGGAGAATTCTGAAATTAGATTATATATCTAAATTAATTATTCCGCTTTAAGTTATATATGAGTTAATAAATATTTTTTACTTACTGATTATATAAATCTAAATAACAAGTATTCTTGAATTTGGATAACATATTTCAAACAATTAGATTCATTAATTCGAATGAAAAAAAAATTAGTAAGTAAAAATGTATTCATGTGCTTGAGGAGTTATTTAAATACTTAGATTACTATATTGATTTACAAAATCTAAATAAAAGAAAATTAAGTTATTGCGATTAAAATGTAAATATTAAAATGTAAATATTAAAATGTAAATATTAATGAATAACTTATTTTAAAACTTAAACGAATAGATGCTCACTAAAATTAATATAAAAAATTCAAATAAAAGTAATATTTATAAACAATTTCTTTTAAATACTGATACTTAAACTAATAGATGTTCCTTATATTAACATATGTAAAAGAAATTAAAATGTAAATATTCTCCAAAATATAGAGATATGGAGAGATGTTCTTATAAAGTGCATTTCTCATGCTTTATTATCGTCTGATCCAAGTTTATTCTTTTTAAGGTTCAAAGAAATCAGTAAAATGTTCTTGAAAGTGCTTCTGCTAGTACTTTTCCATCTCCTGAACTAGATTCATTCTCTCCAAGATACAAAGAAGATGGTGAGGTATTCTTGCAAAGCGTATCTGTTCATGCTTTTCCACTATCTGATTCAAGTTAATTCTAAGATTTCAAGAGCGTTCCTGCAAAGTGCTTCTGCTTTTCTACCTTTTAATCCAGATTTATTCTCCTCAAGTTCCAAAGGAGTTAACAAGGTGTTCTTGTGAAATTATTCATTCAGGCTTTTTTACCATATGATCAAAGCTCAGTTTTAGACCCAAAGAAGTCAGTAAGGTGTTCTTCCAAAGTGCTTCTACTAATGCTTTTTCATTTGACTCTGTTTCATTTTCTCTAAGTTCCAATGAAGTTAGCTAGATGTCCTTACAAAGTGCCTTCACTTATATTTTTCCATCATCCACTTCAAGTTCATCTTTGAGAACCAAGAGGTCAACGAAGTGTTCCCACAAAGTCTTTGACTAACACTTTTCTACCTTCTAATCCGGGTTCATTCTACAAGATATAAGAAAGTTAGTGAGGCATTCTTCAAAAGAGGTACGTACGTAAAAAATTTTGATCAATGTGATCATTATAAAAAAAAAAAAATTTGATTCTGATGTTTCAACTGAAGAATTACAATGAGGCCCACGGTCCCCAAACACTCGCAGCCGGTTACGAACTCAGGCCATACAGTGCAGCCCCACTGATGGCTTATCACGCCTTAACCGTTAATCCACATCAGAGTACTTTAAAATTGCACGTACGTGAATTTGTGACAGGTTATGCCGATTACCAAATCAAAAGAGCACAAAAGACAAGAATTTAGCGCAGGTTTAATTTGCGTTTTTTTTGTTTTCACAATGCTTTTCAATTTTTTTAAGTTACACGAGATCTTGTGATTGTATTGGCTACAATCAGCGATGATCGGCATAACCTGTCACAGATTCAGTACGTGCCATAATGTGCTTGTATGTTTTAATAACACATGCTGGCGCTTGCAGAGCCCTTTTACAAATATATCTTAATTATACTGTACAGTGTAATGCTACTTAGTGTTTTGAATCGTTTCTTTTCAAAGTCAAATGTTGTGAAATTGATTCCATATCTAAAAATAAATTAATAATAATATAAATTAATCATTAATTATTAATAAATATAGAATACGACTACATTATTAAAAATTCTGAATGTTTAAATTAAGTATCTTCTTTTTAAAGAATGATAAGTTAATTTTTAGAATCAATTCTTAGTTAAGAATTTATTAATACTATACATAACTAATTTGGTTATTTTGTTGAATTTTTTTTAAATATAAAGTCTTAATTAATTGTTTAAGTAAGATATTTAAGTTAAGTACTGTACAGTGTTGCATACAGTACTCCTGGTAGTTTGATTCTTTGCTTTGAAAATCACTATCCGACATTTTCTGATGGGGATAATTCGGCAAAGTGAACCACAATGCCGGATCATTTTTATATGTGAATCATCCTTTTCTCTATTGATTCAATAGTCCATTGAATAAACTATTGAATTAATAAAAAGTAAAGGTGTTTTGCATATAAATATGAATCGGTATTTTTGTTCGAATTATCCCGATCTGAAATGTTGGATGGCTATTTTCAAGATAGTGTGTGCAGGTATTTTACATTATACTTTATATTATATTGAATTAAATTTAATAATAATCTTTTTTTTAAATTAATTGTATAAGTTTATAAAAAATTTTTGTCAAATTTAATTAAGTTTTTTTTTGTTCAAAGTTACAAAATACTTTTATTATAAAAGATTTGCCTTATCCATATACGTATATAATAGTAAATTAATATTTAAAAAAAAATCTGACCACATAGGCATAAGAGACATATTTCTACTTAAACATGCTTTTATGAACATGCTTAATTTTTTTTATGCCCTTAAGCTCCAAAAAATTTAAATAATTCTAAGCTAATAAGATTATATGGGCTGCCGTCAATAGAAATAAAGCAGATTGACATTTTTTAAAAAAAAATTTGCCTTAACTTTCCCTACTCATATCTCAATGAATTTTGAAGCTATTCTTATAATTGAACAGATAAAGGAACGCTTAGATATTATGCTTTCTTTCGTTTATTCAATCATGAGAATAGCTTCGAAATTCATTGAGATATGAGTAATGAAGATTTTAATTTTTTAAAAAAATGTCAATCTGCTTTATTTCTATTGACGGTAGCCTATATAATTGATATATTAGTTGCTTTCTTTAAAATTAATTACAAAATAAAAAGCCATCTGAGATTATTGTGTACTAAACATTACACAAACTAAACATATAATTAATATTTAATAAGGAATACTTTATTAATGTAACTATACGTATAGGATTTCCGAATCGGATCGTGATCGGTTGCTGTAGATCATTCTAATGAAGTAAGTGCGCCATTACTTTTAAGTACGCATTACAGTAAAGTATCCCAAAAATACTTCATGGATGTATGTATATATTTTTAAAGGATTTAAAGGAATATATAATCAATGCCAAATTTAAATTTTGGTCTGGTGCATAACCATTATTAGCGAATTTAATTTACATTAGACCCGTGCCAGTGACAGAATCGGTTTTATTTTTTATACGTTAATTCGGATTCATCCGAATTTACCATATAAAAAATGGAATTAGTTCTAAACTTTGTCAAGCATTTGCAATGCAATAAATGTACACGAAATGCATAATTTTGCTTTGCATTTTATTGATTGCCTGTTATAGAGCACCGGCGCATCACGTGACCACGGTAAAGGTTCCCGTAACCCTTAATTGCATCAGATAATCTTTGTTTATATAAAGGCACGAATAATATTTCCGATAGGAAAACAATTGTAATCTTTTATCGCTAAAAAATTGGTAACTATAGTAAGACGAACTTTTAGTGTAAATGACGTAGGGCTTCTAAAAGATATCATAAATGAGAAAAAATAAGTCACAAAATTGCCAAATTGTTGTACCACGTTTTTTCATAAATGAAATGCATTTTTACACATATATGATCCTAATCAATGAACAAATAATTGGTTCAATTAACGACGTGCATATATGCATACTAATAATTTACGCATCTTTATTATGTTTACATATTATTTTTTGATATTAAAGCATTTATTAGAGGAGGGAAAGAGAATAAATAACACTTGGTGCATAAATTTAGGCAGACTTTTATCATTCTTTACGTATCCTGCCCATTTCCTAATACATATCTTACCATTCCCCTCTTTTCATCTCTTTTTCAAAGTGTCAAATGCAGCGCATTTTTCGATAGACACTAAAAAAAAAAAGATTTACAATCTCGCAGAATTTAAAATTGTAATTTTTAGAAAGTTAAGATGCTTTTGGTTACTGACGACGTAGAAGTACATCAAAAACGTAAGTATATAATTTTAAAAATATGTTAAATAAAAGTTTGTTTTTTAGTTAAAAGCTTTTGATCAATCGGCATTCGTGCGATAATTGATACAGAAGCTGCGATTAATAATAATAAAGCTTACGCGTTTTCTTATCCCGCAAATGTCAATGATATAGGCGATGTGAAAAAAAACAGTAGTAAAAAAACTGTAAAACCTGCCAAGCCTGCAAAACCTGTTAAATCATCAAAAAATGCAAATTCAAAAAATACAAATTCAAAAAATGCAAATTCACAAAATGCAAATTTAAAAAATCAATCTAAGAAAGAAAACCTTCAGGCTAACCTCGCACCTACTACTATAAACTCAATTGCTGGTGCAAATTTAATTGCTACTACTACAAATTTAGTCTCTACTACTACTACAAATTTAGTCTTTACTACTACTACTACGGATTTAGTTATTATTACTACTACAAATTTAGTTACTGATACAAACTTAATTGTCACTACAAATCGTGTGACTACTACTAAAGGTACTAACATACAGCAATTTGTCCCTGAGACAACCCCAAAAGAGGTTAGTGCAAAAGTAGGTAACCAAGATGCATATCCTAACACTAGTGTCAATCCAAATGAACCAAATGGCGATCTTGGACTTGTTGCTGGCGTAGTAGGAGTAGCTCTGCTTGCCTTTGGATTGGTCGGATTGTTTATTCATCGTAAAGTGAATGCAGGTAAAAAAAAGGACATAGAAAACGATATGATGTCCGATTCGAATGATGCTTTTGGCAATAATAAGCCACCTGACACTTCTCATATGTCACAATTAATGGAGACAAACAACGATGATAATCTAAAAGAAACTAGTTATGACGTATATTCAAACGAAGTAAATATACCAAGTATAGAACCACTTAGCCCACTACAATTATCTCCAAACAACATTGGTTCGCAAATCCTAAATGATGACCCTTGTTTACCCATTAGTTCTATGCTATTTGCAAATAATTTTCAACCTCCTGTCGTTTCTTCAAGACAATCATTTTATGGTGAATCGATGTATCCAGCACTTTATACCATGACTCCATCTCTTTCCTCACAAGATCTATCGCAACCTAAAAGCTCTTTCGTGGATTTGTCACGTTCAACAGCTTATCCTGTTCCATTTGTTGCTGTTTCTGACACTTCCGATATAAACAATTATGACAATATTAAAGAAACTGTCAGATATTCAATCGAAAGTGCTAATTTAAATGATGTAGATAATTACATATTGGAACCTGAATACATAAGACCGGATTCAACTCTTTTAACAGACTTGATGAATAGTCCTCTTGATGAAAAAATTGGTCATCAAATCACAAATAACTCAACATATGATGAGCCAACGAATGACAAATCTACTTACTTACCTACGAATCCAAATGATGTTACAAATGTTACAACCGAAATATCATTGTCAAATCCTGTCGTTCCAATTGCATTAGATTCTAATATTAAAGGTCAACCTTTTAATGAAAATAGTAATATTCATCAAGATTCAAATAATGCTTACACAAATCAGAACATACAGATGGACTATGTCCAACCCAATCAAGGAACGATTCATATTGAAACGTTAGATCTCAATATTACTGACAGTACTGTGGCACCAGCTAAAGAATCATTGGACATTCAGCCAGATATATCAAAAGTAACAGAGAGTGTTTCTATCGGTTCCGCGTTATCAAATATAGAAGGTGACTTCAATGATACTTCATCACCAGAAACGCCTGTCGTAAAACCAAACAGAGCCTCTATACAAATAATGAAAACAGAAATTGTACCTGTTCAGTCTAATATGCAAATTGAGAAAATCCAAGATATAATTCAAAACAATTCAGAAAACACGAATGATCCTTCATCTGACACTGATTCTCCTTCGCAAACACCTGAAACAAACCCTCTAATGATGACTCCAGCCACAACCGTTTTTGTCAACCCGATTCAATCGAAAATGAAAATTGAAAAAGTGAGTGATGAACCTCAGTCATCATCAAATAAACCTTTCATATCAACCCCATCTGCTTATATTGCCGAGCGTGCATCTGCATTTACAATGCAATCTGCCACTCCGGCACCTGCGTATAAAAAAAAATCATCCAATAACACTCTTCAAAATCCTCCACCATTGCCATCGTATAACTTTGGAACACTTAAGAGCAAAATTGAAAATGCTAATACTACTGTTACTAGTGATGCTGCGGAAAGTATGACTGATTTGAATAATGAAATTACAGGGAAATCTAAACAGGACGCACAAAAGAATAAGGGTATTACAGATATAGCTCTTGATAAAGGTGTTTCATCTACACAGGTTGATGACGGTCTGAACAAAGTAGAATCAGACAATGGGGTAAATGAGATGAAACCACTTACTCAAAAGAAACCTGCTCATAGGGATTCAGATCAAGAACCTGTTCCTCGAAAGTCGATCTTAAAAAAGAAAGCGCCAAAATCTCAAGTAAGTAATAATGTTCTTTAACAAATACAATTTCGGAGCATTAACTCGTTAACTAAATCATAACTTCTTCAAAAGAAAACGCCACAGGATCTCAAAATAGCTAATGATAACGATCTTACACCACCGCGTAACACTGTGGAAAAATCAGAGACACAATATCGAAGTCCAACTTTCAGCATGTATAAAATATATGATGATTTACCTGGAGGTCGAAACAGTACAATGCAACCCAATGTACCTGAAATGCCATCAAGTAAACCGGACAACATTAATTCAAATGAAAATGATAGTTAAATAAGTAAATTTTTTTGTTAAAAGGCATTTAAAAGCAATATCAAATTATTTCTGATGATTCCTTCTTACACATATGTTCACTAATTTTAATCTTTGTTTTTATTACTCCAATTTAATGTGTATTTTAGTTATTTTAGTTTTTATTAATTTTTTTTTTATCGGTGGTCAGTCTACTTATTTGTTTATCGTGTAAGATTTATTGGTAAATTGAAATTATGTAAAAGATTTTTTTTTTTTATTAGTTCGTTACATTCTGCGCAAATACAAACTATAGATTGTTTAATACAGATACCTAGAGATAATTTATTGATCTTGTATTTCTTTGCCAATAATATATATTATTGGAGCACTTTGTATTAATAAAATAGTCCTTAAATCCTTGTTTCCTTGTTATATATATTAAAGTTATTATGTATTTTACTTTGTTGTATTTCACGATCAATCTTTTCAAACAAACATCAGATGCAAGCTCGAGATCTTTTTTCTCTAAACATACGTCTTTTATAAATGCATATTCAGAGTTTAAAAGGGATCTAAGGATTTTGAAACAATCAATCTTTTGTAGTTTATAAAGTAGTCTTTCTGAAAGATAGTTGAATGAACTTATTTGTGAATAAAATGCATTTACAAATACCTTAATTTCAATGAACGCTTCAATGAAATTGGTCATTAGAAAATTATAAGAACACCCAAAGCAGATTAGTAGGTTAGTGATATTCAAAAAATTTCCCATTTTGGGTAACCAAAGCTTCCCGGATTTAATAAACCCGCTAACCAATGTTCTAAGTAAAGTTGCTCGAATGCTATATTAGTTAACTTGTATTATGCTTGTATTAGTGCTTCGCATTTTTTACAGGAGAATCACCAAATTTCCGGGTTGGAAACATCGGATTTTGTCGATTTTGGTGACTATTAGGTCACACCAAGTTAAAACTATGTTTAGCATAACCCCCCTTCTTTTCGAGCCTCAAATAGAGGGTTAATAAACATCACTTAATATAAAAATCATATTAACTGTTCAAAAATAACTTTATTTAGCCAATCAAAATCTTATGTTTTTTACTTCCCCTTACATAGTGTCGTCTCGGAAATCGGCGAGTCTGTCGCTAAACTAAGCCAACTCACATGTAACCTACTGCGACTAAGTCGAAACAGGCGTGTTATATTTGGCGAGTGGATTATCGTCCGTAGGTAAGTACTGGTCTCTTCTCTTGAGTATTTCCTTCAACCTACTCTTGTTCTAATTCTTATCTTCTTTGTTGCTCAACCGGGATTTCACTACGTCGAATCGGGGTTCGAGCTTTTCTTCTCTTTCGTTTCAGGTACGATGGGCACGTGACTATGGCGAGCGATCAATTACGGGTTTAGTTTATTGTTCGTACGAACGGGTATTGTTAATGATGGGATTTACGATGGTTACTAGCTCTTATAAGACAGCAATTTCACTTGTATTATGGGTCGGGTAGGTAGTTTGTGTTTCGCAATTGTAATCACTGGCCTTTTGCCTGGGTGAATTGCTCTATATCAGATATTTGATATACTTGACATTGACATTCGGGATCTATATCACGTGCAATCGGTCACGTTTTTCGGATCTCACAATAGAGTTGCAGATCATTTATTAGTGTTATGTTAAACATAGAAAATAAATGTTGATTCAATTATTTATCCCTTAATCTGTAAGCTTTTTCAGGCAAATTTGTCTGAAAAATTGTTAAAAATATGCTTATGTTCTACATTTTTTAAATTTTAAAATATTTAAATAAAATTTTATTTGATAATATTTGAAAATAAGGATTATATTATAGC